ATCCCCAAAGTTCTATTTTTCTGTCTTCTCATCACTTATCTGATTGATGTTGTATTGATATTTTATGGAGAAATTCTGTCTTGGTCACTCATGGCAGTTAAAGGGTTAAAAATGACAGAGGAAAGTTTCAGAATGGTTTTGTAATAGTTAGTATCTTCTATTAAAAAGTAATGCTGCTGTTAAACAAATGAAGTTTCAAATATTTAAGTGATTTCATTTGCAACACCACATCAAGTGTTGTTGCATTACTCCTGTAACTGGCACAAAAAAAGGATAATTAACTCTTAATTTAGTCTCTGTACCTTGACCCTGCTTAGCAGTTAAACTGAAAAATCCAAAAATTTTTTCATCACTTTTGTACAAGGAGTTGACTTATTTACGAATAACTGAAGAAAGTCATAACATTTTCCCCTTTTCTACCAAATGGTCATTTGACTTGTAAACAAAAACAAGAACCTGAAAACTTTAACACATCAATGCACTCAAGTTCAGTATGTTGTCTATAAAAACCAAGCATTAGAGTAATTTTTTATCCAACCTCATTCTTTGTTGGAGAAAACATTCCTTAAACATTTTTCCTGATGAAATTTGTGTTTGCGGCCTTTATGAACATTAGTGTCCTCCACCATTGCTCCTCGATCTTGTCACGCAAAGCATTACGTGACAGCACAGAAACAGGGCTTCAAAGGAGTAACTTTAACTTGCCATGAACACTCTTACTTAATTTTCTTTCATGCAGTGAAATAACCTTCTAATACCTCATTGTGCTCCATATTACACTGGTAACTGCTTAAAAGTCGAATGGCTTTACTTCTGTGCTTGATGTGAAAAGAAAATATTTCATGACAACAAACAACATTCAAAAGAGGTTTTCTTCATTAGCTTCATGTTTACAGCTTCAGTGGCAGATTCAGGGACTTGGTAGAGAAGGGAAGGGGGATCTAAAGTTTGATTCAGGAGATAAATTTCTTTCTTGTTTTTACTTGAGAGCCTTGACATGCCAAGAATTGATATATTTCAAGATGAGTGAGTTTAGAACACCTCCAATTTAGCAGTTATATAAATCCTGTTGCCAACAGAATTTTGATTTCAGGCAAATAGTAAAAATATTGACAGGTCTAGTGAGGGGGGGGGGGGGGGG